AGCACAGATTAAACAATAATAACATTTTTTTAAAAAAGTCATGCAAAATTAGCTGTTTTATAGAAGTTGAGAAAACTGTTTGCATAAGTCATTATGATATTTTCCAGATTTGAGTTGTTTTAAGATTTAAATATTTTTTTTATTTTCCATGATTATTTTTTCATTTATAGCTTTATCATTTTTGTTTAATGATTAGTTTCTAGCCTCGTTCTTTTGTTGTGTTGTGATTGGTGGCACGACGGCTCAGTGGTTAGCACCGATGCCTCACTGTTAGAAGGTCCTGGGTTTGATTCCCAGTTTGGACCTGGGAGTTCTCCTCGTGCTTATGTGGGTGTTCTCTGGTTACTCCATAACACAAAAAACATACACTAGGTTACTTTCAGGCCCAGGTTGCCCTTGCAAAAGAGATCTGTGATCTTAATGGGATTTGCCTGGTTAAATAACGTTAAACAAATGAGTCTGGTCTTTAGAAGTCCAGTTGGATGTTCTGTTCTGTAATGTCACCAAATGGCTACTTCAATGGAGAATGAAGAGTATCTGCTTTTTATCAGTTTAGCTAAACACAACTTAATGCTAATTTTAGGGCCTAGACTTGTAGGAATCAATGGCTGAGTCATGTGACAGTGTAGCACTCTCCCTGTTGGCTGGTTTCTATGACACTACTTCCTGCAGGTATGGCTAGCTCTGAAGATACTGGAAGTTCAGCTGTTGCCTCAGAACCAATTCTTGAGGAACAGCAYCTGAGGCAGATCACTTTGAAATGGTTCAACGCTGTCTTTGTGCCTTACATGTGGTGGTAAATACATATTTATGGGAAATGAGAACTGAATCACCAAGCCTTATTTAAAGTTTCAATTTGAACATGCAATTTCAAGATGAAACCACGATCAGTTTAGCCACTARCTTTGTCATCCTGTAACACTTTGGMTTAAACAGGCATCAACAAGAATATAATTGGTAACATATTATTGTTCATAAACTTTCAACAGAAACCACTTCAATCAATCTGCAATGAAAGCTGAACTCTTGATCCCAGTTTGATGCTTTAGGCTCATTTACCTAAAACATTTTAAAGGGTACACTTTTCTGTTTCACCTTCCAGCTAAAACATCTGTGCTAGCCATGGATGTGTGTTCATTTCACAGTGTAAACTCTGTTAAAAAAATGACAATAAAGTTTATGAAAAGCTTGAAGAGGGTTGGATTGCATTTATTCATGCATTCAGACAAAATATTTAATGATTGCACAAAAAGTAAAGTTGTCAAACAACCTCTTTTTATTACTCTCTTACAAAGGAGAGAAAAAAATCATTCCAGATGTTTTTTTTTCTGTCTTTCATATGATGTATAATTGTTTGGGGCAAAAAGAGATTGAATTATTTGGCCAGTGGRGCGGATAATGCAGATCGATGGTGGGCGAATGTTTTGGAAGGGGCTCCTGAGCCTTGCTCTCCCTGTGACTTCCACAAACAAAAGGGCCTGCCTTGTCTGCTGCTACAGAACAGGCACTGAAGGACTCCCTCTCTGAAAGACATAAGAAAAGGAGAAACATGGGCGTCAGCCTCTAGCTTTATTTGGCTTTTATTTTTATTTTTATTTTTTTTCTTTTCATGCCAATTTTAATGAAAGATGGAAGCTAAATCTGGGTCTGTACTCGCCTCGTTGTGTGTTTCACTGACAGTTTCCAGAGCAAAGTAAAAACCTGCAAGTGAAATAAAATGACTGAAAATCATAACACATAAGAAGAGGGAAAGAAAGAAAATGCAGTGTTGTGGGGTTTTTTTTTCGGGCGTTTTGGAAGGAGCACATACAAATGTGGCAATTTGGCCTGAGAGGCAGGTGAGTGAGGAATGTTGATTAAAAAGAGAGCAGAGTGCAGGATAAAAGGCCTTTCGTGTAGCCTGTGGGCTACGGCGTGTGCTGAACGCTGCTTCAACAAGACCCTCAGAGGGGAATAAGGATATCAAGTGGTTTCTGATAAGATGTCACACAACAAAGAGGGAAACTTCACGTATGCTCCCAAACAGACACAGGCACAAATCAGGCACATGATACACATGCATGCATACACTTTTAACAACACACACACGCAGAGGAGTGAGTGGTGTGTCACAGATTAGTCCCTAATGGGATTGGCAGACCAGTGCGAGGCACTGTCATCAAACCTACACAGTAGCCGATAGCAAGAACAGGACATGGAACAAAAGAGGCAATGAAAGGAAGAGAGGCTGATCCTGCTCTTACACACTGATCACACACAGCAGGGTTCTGTGGGGGGGTCTGGCTCTGCGTGCTTTTCAGCAGTGATTCACGAATGTGCTGCTAAAACCTGCTGCATGTACGTTAACTGTACTCAGTGATATACTGTATGTGCGATCACTTTTTTTTGGGGTGGGGGGATTAGAGGAACTCGCTAATTATTTATGCATGTGCCGACGGTGCTAGATGATAAATATTTACCACGGATGGCGGCGCGATCAGTATATGTGTCACGCCTTGCCTAATCATGCACAGCATGTAAACACACACTTGATTATTTCGCACTGAGTATTTAGGTTAATGGGAAGTCGTTGAACATGAGTTGGTCCCACTCCTGCCACCTGATACTCAAGTGCGCACAGCAACGTGTGAGAGAAACAAAGGGTGGTGGTGGTGGTGGGGGGGGGACAAAAAGGAAAAAGAAACAGAAAGAAGTGCTTAAGAAAAAGACTAACCTTTACAGAAGCAAGAATGCAGCTCAATTTCTGTGGACGCATCCTCTGCATTTTGCTTCCGGAAGCTAAAAAGGGGAGTAAGGCTGGGTGTTCTGCAAAGAGAGGGTCAAGAAAAAAAGGACATGTGTGTATTGGGTTGAAAAGCAAAGTTGACATCATGGCCTTCATCCCCTCAGACTTCAGAGCAAAAGCCAAATTACTGTATTGCATTTTCTCCTTTTATGAGCAGAAATGTTCATTTTTGAACAATCAAAGTAAATTCAATTAAATTTTTTTGACGGGAAATATATAAGACGTTTATTATTTATGACAAATGATGCAAAGGATTGAGTTGAAAATTAGAGATGCATTCTTTGGAGTGAGCGAACATTACCTTGACAGGCTTGCAAGACAACAGTTTTTATTTTATTTTTTTTATTTTTTCAGAAAACTTGAAGTCGTGGTGGCTGTAAGTGACCCCAGTGCAAGCTTTATGTCGAAATGCTGGTGTATAAATCTATAGAGCAACCTTGGAAACCCCATGTGGTCTAACCTTCCCAGACTGCTTCCTGCTTCCCCTCCATCCCATTAGTTTCTATTTTTATTCAGAGCCATTGTCTCCGAGCTCTACGATGTGAGGGAGGGGTTCGATTTAAGTGAATACAAATCAGGTGATCCACCTATCACAGAGAGCTGGACTGATGGCTTTGAGGRCTAAACTCCCTTCATTATTTTCACACGCTGCATTCGGAGTCAGTTCAGGGAGCTGAGAGGCAGCAGAGGACCAAACTGCTCGTTAACTTTATCACTGAGAGGACTGTGGCCTGAGGCAGAAACCTCCTGTTTGTTTACCGCATTTTTTTTTACTGAGATGAGTTATTTCCACTAAACCAAATTGAACTTGTTCTACAGTGAGCATAGACCTGCCTTCTGACTAAACTGTATCGAGTTTATTTGTGGAAAATTAGTTTGGGTTCACAATTCAGTAGCAACAGAGGCAGGAAGGTGACAAACTGTGTGAAGTTTTCTTGMCATATTTTCTTAAGGTTCTTGTTGAAATTGCAGTAGAAAGGTTAGGTTTTGTTTTGCATATTTTCTGAAAATGATTCAATAAGAAAAAAAAACATTTTCAGGAGTTTGTGTTGAGGTTAAAAGTTGTGCGCATACACGCGTGCTTGTATGAGAAAACCTGCGTATTACGAGTTCATTTGTGCACATTTGCACTGAAGCGTGTTGGAGCTCTCACCCTTGTGGTCTTGATCTTGTTCCCGGAGGAGCACATCCATCCAGAGTTGTCAGGCAGAGTCTTACACTCTTCTCCCTCCAGACATGGCTCCATCTCACACCACCACTTCCCAATTACAATGGATGCTGCAGAAAATTGGGCACARATCCATTACAAAGGTTAGTTCAGTACACAAACATATAGACACATTTTTATCCATGTATACATTTTATGTTCATATTAGAAAATATCAACAAGCATCCTCAACTTTCTGAGGCTCTCCACAGAAACCATGGATTGTTTTGGCCTTGGAGCACTTGAGCTCTTGCTGCATTTGCACTTTTACTGTAAACAATAATGTCTTAAACCAACAGGAATTAATCATTATTTTGTTTTGACARAGCTACACTGCAAATAAGGAAGCAATCTCATTTTTAATCAAAACTAATTGCTTCGCATTAACATCCAGTGAATTCCTCCCCCAGCCATTTGACAAAAACAAATATATTATCACTTTCTCATTAGGAATTCTCTCCCTTCCTATTTTTCATGTTTTGTGTCTCGGGGTGTGTGTTTTTTTATTTGCAAATATGTTTTTTTTCTTCAGAAATTAAAACAAAACAAAACAAAATAAATTGGATGGTAAAATCAACAAGTGAATGCCTTAAAATATACTGTAAAAATGTTGTATACAGTAAACGGACAGGACAGGAGCAAATTAAAATTGCTTGGATTAATTTAAATAAATATTAATTGTGTGTATGTTGTACATTTTAAGTACTTATTCTAATCTGTACTTYTACTTTTACATGAGTATGTTTATTTTAAGCATTGCACTGTGTCACATTTAAAATCTTACATATTACTTATTAAAAAAATGTGAATGCAAAGATGTTAAATAAAATCAAGAGGAGAAAAAGATGTGCTAACATTTTTTATGAAACCCCAAAATAATTTGGATTTTATTTTTCTAATAATCTAATCTGGCAATATGTCAGAGATGTAATGYATTAATTGTATATGAAATGTAAATAGACCCAAGAAAGAAAGAAATGTTAAGACTGTGGCCAGTGCCTCATTAATGTAACCAAAACTGGTGTCTCTAATTCCCTGACAGTATGTTTCATAATCAGTGTTGTATAAAGTACCACAAAGTGATACTTCAGTAAAAGTACAAGTATCTTACCTAAAAATTACTTTGGTAAAAGTTAAAGT